TGGTTCGTGTTGTGTACACCAAATAAAGTATGTACGCCTATCACGCTGCGCCTTGGTCCGCTTCCTGTAACGATCGTGACACAACTGATCAACATTCTTGTCAATCATTGCACGTACAGTAGGTTGTAAGGGAGGTTGTTTGACTCGGTGTAGGTCCCCCCGTCCGGATATGAGTTTCGATTAGCTCAGTGCGACCGTAATCCATTTTTTGTTTTGCTGAAAATATCACCCCCAAAACCCTTTTTCATGTTGCGTACTATGATTTGCTTTTCAGGGGACAGGTTTGAGTCACGAGGTCGTGTCTGGGTGTGTGGTGGTTCTTCCGGTGTTGAGTCGATGGATATCTCCTCACATCATAGCTACTCTCTGGGAAAACATACAGGATAACATCACCCCCTTTAGTTCCACCTTCTAACACTAAGTTCGTGGAGTAACCCTGGCAATAATCTGGCCTTACTCAATGTTGCTTAGGGTCCTAGCCAAAATGAGACCTGAGGCTAACTCAACACATGGCTCCAGAAATCTCACAAAGCCGCCAGGGATAGTGTCACGGTATGAACCCTGTTAGAGGGCAACAATGTCTCTTTCTGTCATGGGCCAAGTAATGTCAAAATATGACATCCGTCGAACCAACATGAATCCACTCTCCTGCTGACTGTACTCGTGCAGAAATCCCCCCCAAGGACAAGCAGCGTGCCTAACAGGAGAAGTTGGCGAATGTCCCCAGGTGGCGAATGGTGGTTTGGGGGAATATCAAGCAGAGGGCCATGGGCAAAAATAAATGCACAGGCGGAGAGAGAAACGACGCAAACGTGCGACGACGGACACGCGAGAGGCAACCCCAGTAATTTTTTGGGGGGCACATGCGTGGACGACGGGGCTGCTGGAGGCAGCTACAGGGCGCATCAGCGATCTAGGAGAGGAGGCACCAGTTTGGGGGGCTGGAAGGGTGGTTGGCGGAGCTAGAGGTAGAGCAGAGCCAACTCCCCGTACTCAGGCTAGGCAGCGTGAGACTGGGCAGGTTCCGGGTTATGCGGAGCTACGTACTGTGCCGCGAGTGTTCCGGCACAGTCCTGTACGTCCTGTGCTAGCACCACGCACGTGTCGTGCTAAGGTGGGCATGCAGCCAGGACGGAGTGTGCCGGCTCAACGCTCGTGGCCTCCAGTACCCCTCCTCGGTCCCGGATATCTTGCGCCAGTGCCACGTGCTGTAGTGCCAGTACGAGTGCACAGCCCTGTACGTCCTGTGCTGATGCCTCACACAGATTGTGTGGAAATAGGCATTCAGCCAGGACGGGTTGTGTCAGCTCTCCGCTCCAGACCTCCAGTCCGTCTCCACAGTCCAGCCCGGCCTGTTCCTGTCCCTCGCACCAAACCAGTGGTGCGCGTCGCCAGCCCGGGCCGGCCTGTTCCTGTCCCCCGCACCAAGCCTGTGGTGCGCGTCGTCAGCCCGGTCCGGCCCGTTCCTGCTCCCCGCACCAAGCCTGTGGTGCGCGTCGTCAGCCCGGTCCGGCCCGTTCCTGCTCCCCGCACCAAGCCTGTGGTGCGCGTCGCCAGCCCTGTCCGGCCTGTTCCTGTTCCCCGCACCAAGCCTGTGGTGCGCGTCGCCAGCCCGGTCCGGCCTGTTCCTGTCCCCCGCACCAAGCCTGTGGTGCGTGTCGCCAGCCTGGTCCGGCCTGTTCCTGCTCCCCGCACCAAGCCAGTGGTGCGCGTCGCCAGCCCGGTCCGGCCTGTTCCTGCTCCCCGCACCAAGCCAGTGGTGCGCGTCGTCAGCCCGGTCCGGCCTGTTCCTGCTCCCCGCACCAGGCCAGTGGTGCGCGTCGTCGACCCGGTCCGGCCCGTTCCTGCTCCCCGCACCAAGGCAATGGTGCATGTCGTCAGTCCGGCACGGCACGTGCCTGTTCCACCGGTGCCTGGTCCGGCACCGGTCAGCTGCTCCACTCCGGAGCCAGAGCAATCCGCTCCACCGGTGTCCAGTCCAGCTCCGGCCAGCGGGACCAGACCAGGGGCGCTACGGGGGGGGGGGGGGGGGTAGAAAGAGAGTGGTGGTCACGCCCGGAGCCGGATCCGCCTCCGAGGCGGAATGCCCACCCGGCCCCTCCCCTGTTGTGTTTGGTTGGCGCGGTCGCAGTCCGCGCCTTTGGGGGGGGGGTACTGTCACGCCCTGGCTCTGGGGACTCTTTATGTTGAGCCAGGGTGTGTAGGTTTTATTGTTTAGTTTTCTATGTGTTTCGTTCTAGATCATGTATATCTATGTTGGCCAGGGTGGTTCCCAATCAGAGACAGCTGTAGCTCGTTGTCTCTGATTGGGGACCATACTTAGGCAGCCTTTTGGCATTTTAGTTTTGTGGGATCTTGTTCCGTTTGGTTTGTTGTATGACCTAGGACTTCACGTATCGTTTTGTTGTTTTGGTTCGTGTTGTGTACACCAAATAAAGTATGTACGCCTATCACGCTGCGCCTTGGTCCGCTTCCTGTAACGATCGTGACACAACTGATCAACATTCTTGTCAATCATTGCACGTACAGTAGGTTGTAAGCAGGTTGTCGAATCGGTGTAGCGTCTCCCGTCCGGATATGATGTTCGATTAGCTCAGTGCGACCGTAATCCATGTTGTGTTTGCTGAAAATATCACCCTAACCTTTAATCATGTTGCGTAGCTATGATTGCTTTTCAGGGGACAGGTTTGAGTCACTGAGGTCGATGTCTGGGTGTGTGGTTGGTTCTCCGGTTGTTGAGTCGATGGATATCTCCATCACATCATAGCTACTCTCTGGAAGACATACAGGATATACATCACCCCCTTTAGTTCCACCTTCTAACACTAAGTCTGTGGAGTACCCTGGCAATAATCTGGCCTTACTCAATGTTGCTTAGGGTCCTAGCCAAAATGAGACCTGAGGCTAACTCAACACATGGCTCCAGAAATCTCACAAAGCCGCCAGGGATAGTGTCACTGGTATGAACATGTTAGAGGGCAACAATGTCTCTTTCTGTCATGGCGCCAACAGTAATGTCAGATATGACATGCCGTCAAGAACTCCAACATGAATTGCATACAACATGAATCTCCTGCTGAACTGTAACTTTGCCAATTCTCAAGGAAATGCTAAGGGTGCCTAAGGTGTCTAAATAGTCCCCTGTCACAGACTTAAGAATAATACAATTATTTGACAATGCTTTAATTCACAGTGTGGAGATAGACATACCCAGGTCCTCACTGATAAGAGAGGTGGCTGACCCGGTGTCTAGAAATGCTTGTGTCTCATGGGCTTCGAGTGTTGTCTGTATATAAGCGGTTGGTGTCTGATTTAGCTTCACTGGAAGCTGAAGGCAGAATCTGGGCATTGTTTGAGGGGTGAGCTGACACTTGATCCATGGTACCAACTAGTACTCGTTTCCCTGGTCTTGAGTACATAAATCATCAGAGTGGATGATGCCCTCCTTTTTGGGCCATCTCCTGTTGTTGTTGTTGTTGTTGTCGTAGTGTCTGTGTGTGCCCCTACCCCTCTTTGTTGACATATTGATGGGTGTATCCAGGGCTTGGAGGTCTGTTGTAGCCATAGCTGCTGTAGGCCCGTCCACCATTGTTAAAACCTCCACCGGGAGAGGGAGTGCATAGTCTGTAGCCTTGGGAAGGTTTACCATAGCCATAACGCTGTCCACCATAGCTATTACATTGCCCATATGGTTGGGGTGAGTAACGTTGTTGTATGTACCTAGGGCGGCTAGGTGAGCATTTCCTCTGATGAGACAAGCTGCAGTCTGGAGTAGGTGAGCGACATACTCTGCCTGCGGAGTAAGGAGAAACCTGTCAACTTGGACTGCCTTTCGAATCATGGTGTGGATAATCCTACCCCTGTCTTTGCATTGACAATCCCCGTTTCATCACCTGTTGTTCTTCACGTAGTCCGGAAAAGTCACTTCGCAGTGCTTTCATGTCGGTTGTAAGGTCCTTTATTATTTTGATGAGCCGTTCATCACATTAAGTGGTGGGTGTGGTTGCAGCATCTGAAGCCTGGCACAAGGGGTTAGATGTGGCAGACATGTTAACCATTAGATGTGGGGAGTTCAAATGCGTTTCCTCCTGTGCTCTCTCCCATTGGCTAGCAATTACAAGTGCCTGTTCCAGAGTAGCAGCCACATGCTCATGGCACTTAGCCTGAAGCACCGGGACCAGTCCATCTTCAAAACGTCTAAAATGTTCCATTTGGATGGCAGCATAATTGTAGCCTGGAAAAGCTTCCTGTGTTAAGACGTGTGATTTCAGCTGCATACACCTCTAGTGCTTATCTTGGGAGTCTGGGCCTAGCATTAACAAAACTCTGAAAAAGAGCTTAGTATTGCTTTCCACCAAAAATATCACTCAACTTTTCCAATAGTTTTTCCATAGTCCAATTGAATTGCCTGTGGCAGAGAAATCAATCAAGACAGTGCATCATCACTCAGTTTGGTTGGAAGACTTATGGCTAAACAATTGTCTGTTGTGCCCGCACAAGCTTTGACAGCTAATTCCCAAACGTTTTTTCCTTTGAGTAAAACTCTCCTTGTCCTTTCCATCACCATGAAATGGTGGGGGCAGATCCACTTTGTAATGTATCACTTTGTTAACAGTGGGACGCGCCGGGCACCAGGCAGTACTCACAGAGGCTCCAGCGGTTTCCTCTCGCCCCTCGGGTCCTCTCAGTGGTGCAACGACGTCCTCGCGCACCTCCTCAGAGTCCGACATTCTCGTTTTAGCTGTTTAGACCGTTTGTTATTCCACTCACTCGTAGTTGTATAGTCCGTTCGTTAGTCCGTTTAGTTGTATTGTTCTTGGTCATGAATAGCAAGCTTCACAGCAGAGACTCATTCATTCACAGTCCGTATGCTAGCTAGCTAACTAGGTCAATGCTGTGGTAGGTAGCTATTGATGCAAAACAGCATATAAAGTCCGTAATTCCTAACAGAAACTGAAAAATGCTGTTCCCCAGCCGCTGTCACCAATTATGTAAGGCGTGGATATAAAGATGAGCCCAACAACTTCTGTCTTCAATGATTCATATTTAATTTCCAACTGCTAGTTCCACATAAAACATGTCATACATCAAAATGCTAGTTCAAAGACAACCCTGGAACATGCATGAACCCCAATAACCTTTTCCCAAGATAAGTATTCTATAAAATGATTACACCCTCTCCTGGCAAGGAGACATTAACCATAAAACATTTTCTACATATGGATAACATGGTTTCATGGTTGACCTATCAAAACATGGAATTTTAAATGCTCCGGAATTGAGAATATTAGTAGCCTATATCCAGAGACCAAAAAGTTGAACAGGTAAACACATTTTAAATTTGCAGGAGGGGGAATTGATTGCACTAAATCAAACGATTAATTAACAATATTTCACAATATCACTGTATATTTATATCGACTTCAACACACACTGTCCCTTCACTCAAACATTATCACTATATTACCAATAACAATATCATTGTGAAGGTTGTTCTACTTCATTGTACACCTCAACACACACTCTACAATGTCTCTTCAGTAATACAGTCATTAGCTGATTATTTTGTAACCGGACAGACCCAAGCCTGGGTTTGCCATACAGACAGATTGGTCCTAGATCAGTGTTGTGACACTCAGGAGGACAGAGAGCAGCAGGGTCACCAGGGAGCCAATCTGACCCGGGGCTCCACTCACTCTCTCTGGTATTGGAATCCACATATCTGAGGAGAAATCAAAACAGATCAGAGATCAGTTAGTCCAAAAAAGAATAATGCTGAACAAAGTAGTAATAATAATAATAATACATGTAATTTGTATAGCGCTTTTCATTAAAGCTCTACTGAGGAAGAAAATACAAAATTATATAGAATAAAAACAAATACAATTAGAATCAAGGCAGGTAAAATAGCGATAGTGAGCTAGGTGCTAAATACATTTAAGATTGGGACAAGGACTATGAAAAAGACAGTGGGTTTTAAGGCCCGTTTTAAAAGTTCTGAGTGATGGAGAGACTCTCAGAGTTGGGTGAGGATCGGGGTAATGTGGTCTGACTTCTTGGTCCTGGTCAGGACCCTGGCAGCACTGTTCTTGATTAGTTGGAGCCTATGTAATAATTTGGCCTGGGGGCACCCAAACAGCGCATTGCCGTAGTCGATCCGAGAGAAGATGTAGGTGTGGATGAGTTTCTCTGCATCTGGCTGGGAGAGTGATGGTATGACCCGGGCAATGTTTTTAAAATGGAAAAATTATATTTTACACATTTGTTTTATGTGTGCATCGAAGGACAGAGAATGATCAAACTTGACTCCTAGGTTGGAGATGACAGAGGACAGGTGGCTTGCCTGGCCGTTGATTGTAGGGGAGATGTTTCCAGGCCTGGTGACCTGTTTGGGTGTCCCAATAAGCATAGCCTCAGTCTTGCTACTGTTCAACTGGAGGAAGTTCTCTTTCATCCATGCCCTGATGTCCTCTAGGCAGCTGCTGAGTCTTGCTAGGGCAGCGATGGTGTCCGGTTTTGTGTTAATGTAAATCTGGTTTCGTCAGTGTAACAGTGGAAGTTGATGTTATAATATCTGAGTGTGTGTGAAGTTTCCTCAGGTTGCGGAATTGAATGGTCCTGTTTGGGCGGTAGAGAGGAGTTGGAGCGGTCAGAGACAGTGTCACAGCATTGTGGTCAGAGACGCCTAGCTCGACGACATCCAAGTCAGAGGCAGGGACATCGGCAGTGATTATGAGGTCCAATATGTGTCCACGGTTGTGGGTTGGAACATTTAGATGTTGCACAACGTTTAGACAGTCCAGCAAGTTAAGGAAGTCAGCAGCCACAGAGCGCTCGAGTCAACATGGATGTTAAAGTCAATACAGTCAGATCAGGGGTAAACAAACTGTAGTTGTCTACATTTAAAAGCAAGGCACTCAAAATACTGAAAATCAGCAACAGTCAGTGGGTTTAAAATAAAGCAGTCTTTGTATAAAACAGCAAGGCCTCCACTGCAGCCATGGCTGCACGCCTTTTCGATGTATTTGTATCCAGGCGGAGCTGTTTCATTAAGATGGTAAAAGTCACCCTCTCTGAGCCATGTTTTGTTAGGTAGATCATGTCAAAGTCATTGTCATACAGAGGAGATGTGTTCGTTAAGGGTTGTAGATTGTAGAGTGCAAGGTGGAAACAGATCCATTGCATTTTGGTTGGTCCACTGTGGTCTGTATGGATTGTATTGGCTTGGAGTGGGTGACATCAATTGCCTGAGGGTCAGCCTGCAGAATTGGCAAGTGATCTTTATTGTCCAACTCCAGTGTGCATGCTGTACTGCTTGCACTGTGAGTGCACACTATAGACTTGAACTTGCTGATCAGTTTCCTATGGCCTTGTCGTCCTCGCCGTCTGCATGTTTTCCGTAGGATTCCGTATTGCGTAAGGTTGTTCTTGAGCTCCTTGCACAGAGTTGTTTTAATCTGTTCAAAACTTCTGAGGAATCCTTGTGTGTAATGGAGGAAAGTTGCTGCCATTTCTTAATATTTGATCCTGCCTTCGGTCCAGGAGATGAGATAATCAGATGAGAAGAGATGCAAGGAAGATCTAGGCTGGTTTTCGAATCCAAACGATTAGCTAGTTGATTGGAGAAGTAGGCTAATATCTTGTCTAGTTTAACGTTTTCGGGTTTAGATAACTACATTTTTTATTTCAGAACTTGATTAGCTTTCAAATTAATAAAAAGTTGATCAAAATAATGCACATAAAAAACACTTAAAACAAATAATTATAGATACATTCACAGGAGTAAACTACCAAGGATGCCACTAGACACCATGGCAACCCTGGAAGCACATGTAATACGTAAGGGATACACGCCGACCTTCTGTACATTACCTTGGAAATAGTGGTTGACACATCGGGAAGAGGCGGAGCCCAGTCCCTTTGTGAAGTTAATTTTTCCAAGGTAATGTACAGAACGGAGGCGTTTATCCCACTTATACCAGAGTTACCAAAGAAATGTCTCTGCAAAAACAAATCAATTGCTAGCTAGCTAGCTAGCTAAGTTTTTATTTCTTGGACTTGCGTTTATCCAATTTCGGTTTGTGTGGTTGTTGGTTTAGCTTTCAGTAACTTTATAGCAAGTACGGTCTGCATGTATAGACGCATGTTGCGTCATGATTGCAAGGTGTCCAGATATATTTTCCAACTGTCCCAATATATTTTCTAACTGTCCCGTTATGTGGTTTTAATGTCTATTCTAGAATGCCCTTCTAGCCAATCAGAAACGAGTATTCAACAATGCTGTGGTATGTTATTTTCAATTTATGCAATTGGTACGGTATATCATATTGTGTATCCTGTTTAAAATATTAAATAGTGGTATTTTAAGGCCAGAATTACACAGTGATAAATATTACCTCTGTCTCTTCCGTTCAAAACCAGAGGTCCCATGGAAATGGCAGCGTTGTCATGGAAGGACACATCCCTGCGTCCTCTGTGGTGGTATCCAGGGTAGCAGTGCTGCAGGACACAGAAACAAGACGGCAGACTGTATTACCATGTTTAGGCTATGGACTACTAGAGTTTCCTCCAAATGACTACTGTTTGTAAACAAGTGAAACTTATGTAGGATGATTCCATAACATATTTTTACATTTAGCTATTTGCAAGTGGTTGTCTTGGCTTTTGACATTAACTCACAAATGTGAGATGATTATCTAGGTGAGATGTACACAACTTCAGCCGATGTTGGAGAAAAATGTCAAAGAAGTTCAATAAAAGTGCATTGTTATAAAAAAATATATATTTTCTGCATCAACAGGATGCTTGACTTCCGGTGTGTGTGGAGGGCAGACCTGGGTAAATTTTAAAATAATTTAGTTGCAATTTAAAGGGGTAATCTGCAGTTGCTACATCCATTTTAGGATTTATAAATTCATGATATGTACCCATTGATTCTTGACGAATATTACTTATGAATGCCTCATGAGCTTAGTTCAACTGTTGTACCCCATCAGAACCCCAAAATATAAGTTAGTTTTACACACATTTTTGTAAATAAATTAAATGTAAAAAAACAAACACTGTATAGCCTCAAAATATGGTTAGAAATATACTTTTTATATCATGGATGGTCAGTACTTGCATCCATTGCTCTGTTTATGAATTTGAGAGTGTTTACATTTCTCCAGCCCCATCCCTCAGCTTTTTATCGAAACAGTGGCAGAGAAAACACTTTGTTTTTGTTTCAACTGCGGATTGCCGCTTTAAGGTTAAGCTTTGAGCTTGTCTGGTACAATGGAACCAACAATGGAATGGTCCAAAAAGAGCAAAACACACCCATCTGGCACTCCAGACAGGCTCAATCAAACGCTCAAAGTATTTAAAAGTAAACAAATACTCTTTTAACCCTGGGACGTGTTTCATTTGTGCCTTACACAATGTTTTCAAACGTTTTGCAAAAGGAAATTAACGTTAAATTAACATGGCCCAGGTTTGTTGGGAAGGGGAGGAGACTCACAGTGGTGCAGTCGTTGAGGTGCAGCAGACACAGGTGGACCTGGCAGTGCAAGAAGACGCTGGAGGAGTTCCTGGTGAAGGTGAACATCCGGAAGGAGAAGTGGGCCGATGTGGAGACGCCATTTTGGATTAGCTCCACCGTGCTGTCCTCAGGGTTAGGGCACCTGGAGCAAACAAAGAACGGGAGGAAATGGGAGGGGGAAGTAAATGATAAGTTATGCTGTTATTTTATCTTTCTAAATGAAATATCATTTTGGTGTTTACATGTGATTACATTAGGATGGTTTAACAGTCAAGCAATTATCAATATGTCAACTACAGTGGGGGAAAAAAGTATTTAGTCAGCCACCAATTGTGCAAGTTCTCCCAAAAGATGAGAGAGGCCTGTAATTTTCATCATAGGTACACGTCAACTATGACAGACAAATTGAGGAAAAAAAATCCAGAAAATCACATTGTAGGATTTTTAATGAATTTATTAGCAAATTATGGTGGAAAATAAGTATTTGGTCACCTACAAACAAGCAAGATTTCTAGCTCTCACAGACCTGTAACTTCTTCTTTAAGAGGCTCCTCTGTCCTCCACTCATTACCTGTATTAATGACACCTGTTTGAACTTGTTATCAGTATAAAAGACACCTGTCCACAACCTCAAACAGTCACACTCCAAACTCCACTGTGGCCAAGACCAAAGAGCTGTCAAAGGACACCAGAAACAACATTGTAGACCTGCACCAGGCTGGGAAGACTGAATCTGCAATAGGTAAGCAGCTTGGTTTGAAGAAATCAACTGTGGGAGCAATTATTAGGAAATGGAAGACATACAAGACCACTGATAATCTCCCTCGATCTGGGGCTCCACGCAAGATCTCACCCTGTGGGGTCAAAATGATCACAAGAACGGTGAGCAAAAATCCCAGAACCACACGGGGGGACCTAGTGAATGACCTGCAGAGAGCTGGGACCAAAGTAACAAAGCCTACCATCAGTAACACACTACGCCGCCAGGGACTCAAATCCTGCAGTGCCAGACGAGTTGCATCCAAAGAACACCATACCTACTGTGAAGCATGGGGGTGGAAACATCATGCTTTGGGGCAGTTTTTCTGCAAAGGGACCAGGACGACTGATCCGTGTAAAGCAAAGAATGAATCGTGAGATTTTGAGTGAAAACCTCCTTCCATCAGCAAGGGCATTGAAGATGAAACGTGGCTGGGTCTTTCAGCATGACAATGATCCCAAACACACCGCCCGGGCAACGAAGGAGTGGCTTCGTAAGAAGCATTTCAAGGACCTGGAGTGGCCTAGCCAGTCTCCAGATCTCAACCCCATAGAAAATCTTTGGAGGGAGTTGAAAGTCCGTGTTGCCCAGCGACAGCCCCAAAACATCACTGCTCTAGTGGAGATCTGCATGGAGGAATGGGCCAAAATACCAGCAACAGTGTGTGAAAACCTTGTGAAGACTTACAGAAAACGTTTGACCTGTGTCATTGCCAACAAAGGGTATATAACAAAGTATTGAGAAACTTTTGTTATTGACCAAATACTTATTTTCCACCATAATTTGCAAATAAATTCATTAAAAATCCTACAATGTGATTTTCTGGAAAAATAATTATCATTTTGTCTGTCATAGTTGACGTGTACCTATGATGAAAATTACAGGCCTCTCTCATCTTTTTAAGTGGGAGAACTTGCACAATTGGTGGCTGACTAAATACTTTTTTCCCCCACTGTATTTTGTTCCATCAAGTGTTAAATAAATAACGTTTTAGTTGACCAGGAAATTATAACCTGTTTAACTGACAATGTTTTGTAGAATTCAGATTTTTCAGGACCCCTACTTCCCGTGGCTATGGCGCCACCATAAGGTAAAATATATTACCATTTTTGTTTTGTTTTTATCTTTTTTCAATGGTAATTGGTGACATATTTTATTTCAAACCTACACTTTCAAATGTCTTATTCCTAACATGGGGACAATTTGTGGCTCTGAACATGCTAACATTTCCCTGCTAAACATAATGTCTCCATACTCTCTAGCAATAAGATTCCAGCGGACGGCGTAGCTTGGGTCGTTCACAGGCGTGGCCCAACAGGAGTCCAGCACAGTGGAGATCTGACGACCGTCCACTCCGTCCACCTGCACGGCCACGTAGATCTGCTGGTCAATTTCCACGTTGATGTGAGAACCGGATAACGGGTAGCGGAAGCCGGCATCCTGGTACGGGATCATCCGGATTCGGTAGCGGCCCTTGCCAGAGGGAAGCTTCTTGGTCACAATGCTATGGAGCAGAAGAACAAAAGGTTATTCGAATAACTAGACAAGAATCATGTTGAAGCAAAAAAAAAACCCATGCCTGAAACATAAGTCGATCTCAAACCGATTGTCTGAGGGGCCTAGTTAACCTCACCTTCCATGTAAAAAAGTCATGACCATCATGCTTTTCGGGAAAGAGTACATGTATTGTACATGTATTCAACTACACGTTTGATCTATTCCAGTACCCTTGCTTAGGTAAGTCTGAGAAGCTCAGTTCTGGTGACGTTTTAGAAGTACATTCTACTCCAAAATGAATGAAAATAAAATGATGCTGACACCATCTAAAATATAATTTCCACCTCCAGAAATGAGCCCAATAACATATTGGTTAAAAAATATATTTGTAACATATTGGACAATGCATATAGCCTATGCATGGTCTGTCTGTATTATCACGTGCTTTTAGCAATAAGCATTATCACCTGTAGCCCAACCGGGCGACCAGACCAAATTCACATAGAAATGTGAGTTATATATCTGTCATTTGCATTGAAAGCAAGTCTAAGAAGTGGTAGATCTGTTCTATGTGCGCTATTTCTATGCTTCCTGTTCTTAAGTTTCGTTTTTTGCGTCTTTTACATTCGGTTTTGTACACAAGCTTCAAAGAGCTGAAAATACTATATTTTTGGTTATGGAAAATATATTTCACAGCTGTTTAGATGGTACAATGATTCTCTACACAATGACTGCTTGTTTTGTCCCATAAACTTAAATTAGGCTAACTATTATAATTTTAGCAACCAGGAAATGGCGGAGTGACCTTTAAGCATCCTTGAAACTCTGGTTGTACCTGCATTTTTTAAATAAACGTGGTACCAATGGAAAGCTGGGTATATTAACAATGATATACTGTACTAGCACAGCCTCTTGTGCCTTAAATACTTCCTCCAGGTATTTTTAAAAAACTTTTCTTGTTGAAAAGATATTTCCTAAGTATAAATATAGTAAAGTTCACACACTAAAGTGTAAAAAAAATCTGTTTTGAGCAAAATAGTGTTTTTCTGACACAACTGCAAACTTCAAGGACTAGGGCATTCAAGGAGTTGGTCTGATGGTCAGATGTGATGTCATCAGCCTCCCCCTTGCTTGAGGAACAACTTGTGTCATGTCTGACCTGGACCACCTATTGATATGTGTCTTTTGTTAAGTAAATCAGGTGTTAATTGAGGTTTAAAGGAGACTGGAGGAGAACTTCAATGCTAAAATCAATTAAAAATCCAGTCATCATAGGCTGTTTGAGAGGATGCTCTGACCTCTCCAGAGGGTTGAGATCCATGGTCATGGACAAGGACTGGGAGAGGGGGTACTCGCAGCAGAAGCGCAGGTTGAGGTGCCTCTCACGGCTGATGACCCCCATAACCCCTCCGTGGAGGTCCACCTCACCCTGGATGGAGTTCTGATAGATGAAGTGAGTACCATTGCTCTGCAGAGAGAAAAAAAAACTAAATAAGAAGATACAATTTTAATATTTGAAGAGTCTCATTCCAAAACGCTCTATAACCATTTTCTGAAATGTTGGTAAATTAGCTTTTATGGTTTAAAGAACGTATGAAAAAAATGTGTGTGTTTTTTCACTGTCTAATCATGGCATGGGGTTGTTCAATGACAGACGTATTTGTTTGATATCTATCACTTGATGGTTTTGCAAAACGCTATATACAGTACAGTATCTGCCTCACTCTCAGAGAAATTAGTACTGCTAGGTTTTACACAGTAAAATGTAACAAATAACTAAATGTTTTATAAATAACTGTACAAATGACACATTTGTGTCAGCAACATTAAAGACAAATCTATACAGTAATATGAGATCTGTATGTAAAACATTTACATTTGACATTTTAGTCATTTAGCAGATGTTCTTATGCTCTTATCCAGAGTGACTTACAGTTAGTGCATTGATCTTAAGATAGCTAGGTAGGTGAGACAACCACATATCACAGTAAAATATACAGTATACAGTACATATAAACATTCCATTCCAGCTAAATGGATATATAGCGTTTTGCACACACAAAAAAACATTTGAATACACGTAAAATCAATTAATAAAAAATCTGAGAACATTCATATTTAAACACACATGAAGGTACCCATATGCAATCATTTGTAGTGGAAAAACACAAATATGAAAAAATTGGTGGATATAGAATATTGGAAATAAAATCTTCACTTGATGGGCACCTACTGTATGTAAGAATTTCATAGCACATTCATAACCTACAGAATACTGCATTTATACAGTAAGAAGTAAACAACATTGCGACAATGAAAAGTTGACAAACATTTATAATATTAATCATTATTTGGACTATGGTCTGTATTTGTTGAGCCTTTTTGAACATTGGGTTGTGTATGAAGTGCCACTATGAGACTACATAATCCAAGTGATAATGTCATGATTGAACTGTGAAAATACAGTACCGTAAGAGTCGTCCCGCAGAGTTCGTTGTCGTTGTCGAAGTGGAACTCCAGGCGTCCATCCCGGACAGAGCCGTTGCAAGTGGAGTCAGTGAGGTGCAGGACGTGGGGAGGGAAACCGGCCTCAAATAGCTGGCACCGGGACAGAGACACGATGCCTGAACTGTAGGAGCAAGACGTGACCGAATCTAAGGGCAGAGATGGACACGGATGAGGACACAAAGATAGAGGACACAAAGACCACGGATGAATCGCAAAAGTCTTTCCTCGGTTTCTCGTATCCTCTATCCTCATCCTTCCCTCTTTTCGAAAGAGGGAAGTTAATTTGCACAGGAGATGTGGGTTCGGACCACGTCGGTCACATTGGCGCAGTGCTAGGGGAGTCTTACCGTAGCTTTCGTTGTTGGGCCGATGGTGGTTCTCATCACAGAAACAGCCGTAGATGCCGTCCTGATCCCCACACCACTCATCATCAGTACAGTCCAGATCATCGCAGGGGTCCGACTCCGCTAGAGAGAGAGAGAGGGAGGGAGGGAGGGAAGGAAGGAGGGAGAGCTTGATGGAGAAAGAGAGAGGGGAGAGAGGGACAATATGGCAACAGTTACTACTACTGGGTTAACTAGATATAGTATGGACAGACATTTGGAAAAGAACACTAAGGCCTACTAACTGCCAATTTATCCATCTTTCCACTTAGACAAAATGCCCCCAAAGACACCCAGACACTCACCACACAGCAGACCCGCGCGCCATTCTGGGATATCAAGACCCAGGACGGAGCAGGCCGCCTCATAGACCGCCACGGCGGAACACAGCATCCCATTGGCTGGAGTGTATAGGCAAAGGTCGTAGACACAGGAAGTGAAGTAGGGCTGGGGGTCAGAGTGCAGGTGGCAGGCGCTGAAGGGGCCGCTAGTGTTGGTGATGATGCTACACTGGTCACTGTATTCCACACTGAAGGGACAGTCGTCTCCTCCTCCTCTGTTATCAGAAGCCCCACATCTGGAAAAGGACACGTAGAAGAGTTAGTTAGTTATTTACTTGGTGAGTGAGTGGCTACATTCCGATTCTGTACCCTTCTCCGACTAGTGTGAGGAATATGGTTGAAACTCCCTCCAGCCATGCTTGCACCAATCCAATGCTTTTAAATACATGAGGGCGAGTAAACGAGTGCACACTTCTGGAGTAGGGTAGAGAGTCGGAAGGCAGCCAGTGAGTGACTGAGGTCAGTGAGTGAGTGTATGAATAAGTATAGTACTTTATTATCTGTTAGGAAATAAGGAAAACATTGCAGGAGAATAACAGTCACTGTACTGTACAATCATCTAATCCCTTGTGTTTCCGTTATGGATAAAAGTATGTATTTTCATTCTGCTAATAACTTTGCTTCCGAATAATCTGCTTATGTTTTTTATGAAATTATACATACATACTATGGAATATTTTGAATAAACTGAATTTCAATAGAGGTTGTTTCCCCAGAAGCCTTAGTGTTTCAAAGCCTGACAACAACAGCAGCTCACCCTGGCCGGCTAGTGTCTGCCTTCCAACCGTCACCAAAGTCATTGTCACTCCGCGCCGGCGTCCCGTTGGGCAGGACTTTGTCATCTTCCGGGTCACCGTTGAGGTTGCCACACATCCCGCACACTGCACCGTGGTGGCTCTGGCCCAACCTGACCAGCAGGGTGCTCCGGCCGTCAAACTGGACCATCAGGTCACTGGAGTTGAGCATCACGAAGCCTCGCTCAGACACCACTCTGGCGACGGAGCCGATGGAGGAGGGGATAGCGACCTCGCTCCCGTCCACCTGACCGAGAGAAAAGGGGGAATGTCGGGAAGGGATTTGAGGTTATTGGAAAAGACCTCAGGCCTAGACTTGACTAGTTTGATAGATTGTTGACGACAAAGAGACCTCAAGAAGCTTTTGTACTTGTAATCAAGAAAATAAGTAATTATCGGTAGAGTGAACAATGCAAAAGCATGAGGGCAAAAACTTGTGGTTGAAGAAGGCTTGGCGACTACCATCTTAAAGGGCTTTATAATAAAAGTCTCATACCATTGCTAAAAACGGACAGATTTGCACCTGACTAGTCATATTTTCATCAACTATAAGTGTGTTATTTGGATTTTAGTGCATTTACCGTCACTCTCTTGCTCTGTCCAATGGAGACATGGGTCTCCTCCCCTCCATGGGACAGCCACACATCCACCAGCGACACAAACGAGACAAGATTGTTGCCACGGTGACGGTTGGTGGCCACCACACGGAACGTGAGGCCATTAATGGACTGGTTGGAACAGGTCCTGGCGATGTCATAGGAGCAGGAGCCCTGGAAATGGGCCACGGCCCCGTCAAAAGTGACGTAATGGGGGTCGCCCCAGACCGTGCAAGTGGACAAGGCGTCGAAGCAGCCCAGGTGGCCATTTCTTATGGTGCACTCCTGGGTGGGGGTGCAGGATGTGGCAGAGCAGCGGAGGTCATTGGGGCCGTAGCACTCACAGTGTTGTGAGCAGCCTTGGGTCCAGAAAGACTCACTAACCTGAAGTACACAAAACAGTGTGGATGAGATGCAAAATATAGGCTACAGTACACCATGTTCATATAACAATGTCTCTACAGGTACACCTAGCTATTTAAAATTATAAAGGGATTAAATTAAAGATTAAAAACACTTGCATTGCATGTGCACAATTATTTACTTGATCTTGACTTCTGCTCAAATGGGAGAAAGTGCAGATGTAGTTGAGACACAATGAACTGAAAGACTGTTGTCTTATATTTCTGTAACTCAATATGCAGGCAGGAAATACTCAGATCCATCAAGAAAGTTGTTGCGGTGTCATCCTTGATCCTTACTCTACATACAACGCAGAGTGAAACCTGTTCCACAGGCATAAACTATGGGATGAGTAACTCACATCGTAGTAGAAGCCGTCGTACTGGCAGCCACAGCGCTCTACTGGGACACAGTGCCCCGCGCTCCTGAGGTAACCGTCATCACAGAAACATCCCTCGGAGCAGCTCTGCTCGCAGCTGACATCAATGCTGCTGACACACGTGTGCCCACAGTCTGTTCCACAAAGCTCATAGTGGCTATTTGCTGGACACTCAATACCTGCAAATGCAGAGAGAGAGAGAGAGAATGAGAAAATCACCTGAAGACTACGTAAAGTCATACAGTTGCAATCACTGAAAAGATTCCACACTGCGTGACGTTGGCATAACAATTGTTACAATGCGGGGTTAACTGCACCGTCTTAAGTGTTGAACTTATGTGATACTTTAAAATATGTGTGATATTTTATTATCCCCAATGTACATGAGATAAATACCAGACGTTCTACACATTTGTTGATGTGAAAGCTTCACAACTTGCGACTTTGTTATTAAAACTCACGCGACTGTCTTGCAATGTTAGAATACAATCAAACTTGCAATTGTGCATGAAGTACATGCTTCAGAAAAAAACTTGAACACATGAAACTGTATGAGGCTTTTCACTCTACATAAAATTCAGAATGACGTGTATACAGTACTGTATGAGGTCCTGGGTCCTACCGTATTACCACAAAGGTTACACCACAGAATGTTAGTTTCTATCTACCAATCTAAAGTGAAGACAATTTGTCACTCACTGCAGGTGGTGTTCTGTCTCCAGGGGTAGATCCTGACGTTGGTTGACTGACAGGTGCTCACATAAGTCTGGATAGCCCTGCAAAGAACATCCTGCTCTCTGTTCCCCGACAGACACACGTCAAACACACAGTTGCTGAAGTAGGGCTCAGGGTCCACCTGGCCGTGGCAGAAGCTCAGGGGTCCGTCAACAGCCCTGATGACCTCACACCGGGCGCGGGCGGGACTCGGGTTGTGGCATTGTGGACAGGAGGCTCCGCAGCCATCGCTGCAGGTGTAGTTGCCCTCCACCTTCCAGGAATTCCCGAACTGGGAGGGAGTGGACGCCAACGTTCCGGAGGGGGTGAGGAAGTCATCGTTGCGATTGCCGTTAAAGTTTCCGCACAGGCCACACGTCATTCCGCTGTTATAATGATAATAATGATACAGTGCATCACAGATACAATAAATAACTGTTTAAAGCGGTTAAAAACTAACATTTCCATTGTTAGGTTTTATTATGTACTTTAGGCAGAGTTGGGGTCAATTTAGTTTTCTGAATTGAAAACTGAATTGACCACAACCCTGACTTAAGAATTTTAAACATCAATCTGTTTATAAGACAAATTATTTGTGCACTGATTGCAGAGATCATAATGGTTTTACATTCGACCCCACTACCACCGATATGTACCTAACACACACCTGTAGTTGGAGGGGACAGAGATAGACACCACACTCGAGCCGTCGTAACTGACACTCAGGCCGAAATCGGAGTTGACAAACGTGCGGAGTCCACTCGCGTAGATGGACACCCGTCCACCATGCAAGAGGATAGGCAGGTTGCTGGTCACGCCATCAATCTGAAAGACAATCAAAGTAATCTGTCTTTCGACCTGTTTTCTGTCCACCTCCATTGTTTACAATGTGGAAGAACAACAGCAATAGTATTTCTCAAAGTTGTTCATCATCATCTCTGCTATTTGTCGAATAGATGATGAATTTAATCAACAGAGATGTGGTAGATAACGTTTTGTATTCCCCATGGCCATGATAACACCTGAAGTGAATACCTATTAATTTCATCATGCCTTTGTTCAAGTATTTCTGTGGTAACAGGTTGCTAGTCTGGGTAAAAAGACATGGTACTCTTTAAAAAAAAGAAGATAACACTAAAAAATGGGCCGCAACTACGATATGTTTCAGTTCATAGTACTATCTTTTAAAAAAGCTAATGCGTTTCGGAAAAAGAGTACCACAAACTGAAAAATGTCATATGACCGTAGGCTTAGTCTTTATCAAAGCTCAAGTTTTTTTACCTTACCTGTACCACTCCACGCCTCTCCCTGGAGATGTGTACCCAGTGGCCCCACACATTGACAAACACCTCGGCTGTGATGGAAACTGTCAACCCGTTCCATGGCTCATTCCTGGCCTCCACCAGAAAATGCTGCAGCCCTCCCGTGGCATTACCACACAGGGTTGCTAGGACATAGCGGCAGGTGCCCTGGAAATCGAATAGCTCCCCATCAAATGTGAGGTAGTGGGGGTCTCCAGAGGCAGAGCAGGTGCCTTGGGGGTTGGGGTGGCAGCCGTACTCACCCCCCACCACACGGCAGGACTCCTGGGTGGTGCAGGCATATGGGGTGCAGCGGACTGCTCCAGTGGTGCCGTTACAGGTGCATAGGCTCTGGCACTCTTCGCCTTCCCAGAAGCGCTCACCGCCTTGGCGGTAACGTCCCTGGTGGTGGCATCCGCAGGCCACTGGCGGAACGCATTGATTGGCGCTGAGTAGGAAGCCATCGTTGCACTGGCATCCCTCCTGGCACGCAGTGACACAGAGGAAGGGGAAGGAGAGGCTAGGGCAGGAGGCGGGACAGGAAGTGCCACACAGCTCGTAGTGGCTGTTGGGGGGACAGGTTTGTTCTGAGGGGGGAAAAAAGTGGATTTCATTGAAGAACCCTTTCACACACAACACTAACATAATACCATTAATAGGCTATAGCAATACATTAAAGCTGAAACATATCATGATTGCACACATGTATCATGGCTGAATCTCAAACTGAACACTTTGCTCCTAAGCCCTTTATTGATTGGCCACTTACTGTTGTGGACTATAGTGATCACTCGGTTCTGCAATTGTTTTGGCCATAATTTGCAATGAGACGATGCACACTCGACGTCCCAACTGCCACTTATCAATATTCCAAAATTCTAAAACCATTTGTGAGCATTGTCTTTGCTGTCTTGTAGCATGACTGAATCTGTCTTGTAGCATGACTCACTTGCTATGAAACACGGGCACTGGGGACTTGTGGCAGACACAGATACTCCGATAGACAGTAAGAAAGTTGTAAAAACGACATCTCTTTACAGTGCAAGTACTGTATAACGTTTGCCAGAGATTTCATCAGCTGGTTTTAGCTTGTTGTAGCCTGCCTGCTGCTAGCTAGATTCATTGACAAACACAGGGATGGAATTTTAACTAGCACTAGCTAAGGATATTGGGCACTGCACTGATAAACAGCGGGTAGCCTGTCAGTTATTTACAATAGTTTGACAGCTTGCTGTTCCCAGCAGTCAGTCCGTTCTTCAGCATGTTTACAAAGCCCCTATCGCTACGTTGTAACGTTGGGTCAGCTAAATGCACAGCACAGCAGCACACTAGGTACTGTACTGACTCGGGGCAGAGCAAGCTGTTTGCTAATTAATTAAAACCCGTTCATTGTGATAAAATAATGTTAATACAGTAGCTAGGTAACTAGGTACTTTGCTTATGGAAGGAGCATTGTATTTAGTGCAGGGGTTAAAGCAACAAACAAACAAATCCCATGACAGAAACTTAAGTCGATCACAGATCGATTGTCTGGGGCCAAGTTAACCTCCCCTTTTATGTAAGAAAGTCATGACCATCATGCTTTTAGGGAAAGAGGATAATTTTTTACATGTATTAAACTGTGAGTTTGACCAATTCCAGTCCCCTTACTTAGGGGGTCCGGGATCCTCCCCGGGATAATTTTAATGTAAAAGGACTGAAAAGCACAGTTTTGGTGACTTTTTGAGAGCGCATTCTACTCCAAAATGAATGAAAAGAAAATTATGCTGACACCATCTAAAATATAATTTCCACTTCCAGAAATAAGCCCAATAACATATTGGTGAAAATTTGGTTTAAATTATTTGGACCATGCATATTGGACCATGCATATAGCCAATAAGCATGATCACCTGTAGCCCAACTGATGTGGCATAGTGGCTATACATAAATAGGCTGAAGCATGGGGTTGCCTATCTGTATTTACCCCATTGGACACAACATCCTGATTTTTATTCTTATCAATTCTTATTATTTTATTATAAATATATAAATAATTATTCATTATTATTCACTCTATTTTTTTGGTTTCTACTACAAAGTAGGTCATTGCCCTTATAGAACGCCATTGACCTTTAAGAGCTCTGCTGTTGCGCTGCTGTGCCTAAACCATGCTTGAAACTCTGGTTGAAACTGCATTTGTTAAACAATGCCACTCGTGCAATTGAAGGAGTAGAGAAAAGAACGTGGTATCAATGGAAAACTTGGATTCATCGTTTTTAACAATGGCCAAAACTGCTTTCAAAAGCGTTTTCCCGTGATTGCATTAAGAATTGTTGGCAAATGACCGCTTTTCAGAATACATGTTTCCCTCCCTATGGATTTCGCAACTTGAATGCACCATATTTATCTCATGTAGAACACACAACAACAAGCTGACTAGGTAAAAAAAAAAAACTCCTGAGTGGCGCAGTGGTCTAAGGCACTGCATCGCAGTGCTAACTGTGCCACTAGAGATCCTGGTTCGAATCCAGGCTCTGTCGCAGCCGGCCGCGACCGGGAGACTCATGGGCGGCCCACAATTGGCCCAGCGTCGTCCAGGGTAGGGGAGGGAATGGCCGGCAGGGATGTAGCTCAGTTGATCGAGCATGGCGTTTGCAACGCCAGGGTTGTGGGTTCGATTCCCACGGGGGGCCAGTATAAAAAAAAATATATATATATGTAATCACTAACTGTAAGTCGCTCTGGATAAGAGCGTCTGCTAAATGACTAAAATGTAAATAGGTACACTATTCTACTATGGGGTTGTCTGATTTTGTTTTAATAACAACATTACATGGCACTGGAAAGTTGCATCCTGAGTAATAAAGTATAGGCTTTGAATTACTTTGCCAGCAGCTACAGTAGGCTACACACCGCTGTTTGAATTGAGCACTGCTGTGCACATTATAGACTATTGTTAGGGATTATTCCCTTCTTCTGAACATAGGAGTGTAAGCAACGATCATGCATGTCAGTTCAGCGCAAATATTTCGAAGAACAGACATGCTTCTGTATTAGGCTATGTCATCTCCAAACCCAATCCCACTGATATGTTTTATTGCGGATCTACACTGATCTCAAAAACGACCTCTACAGAATCCATCAGTGACCCATGATTTAGTGTAGCACTAGCTGGTTGGTTAGTTTCTCTTACGTTTCATATGAAGTGACTGGCTCAGGCTTAGCTAACACGTTAATAATAGACAAGCTTCAGAAATACATGAAACTCCTTAGCTAAATGTAAAACCGTGCGACTAAGACCTCCTCCAAATCAAACTTCAAAATTAATTACAGATTTCTTGATTTATCTTGATTTATTCAGACTATTTTTGAGGGCGACGTAATGGTGACTGTTGTTGCTAGGTAACATGCTAAGATTCATGGGAAGAAGTTGCTGCCAAGGGCGCTGAGTCGGAATAGGATGTCCACTCGATAAACAGGCTTCCGAAGGGCAAAGGGCGCAGTGAGATTGACCTGATTGAACGCTCATATTGAGCGATTGAGTGATCGAAGTGCTCAAAGTGTTCAGTTTGAGATTCAGACTAAATGTATTATGCCCGTCAATGCTAGTTTTCTATACTTAATTATACTATACTATACTTATTATACTATACTGGCGTTGAAGGGCATAATACGTATGCATGAACCAGTTCGTGATACTTGTGTATTTTAATGTAGGGGTTCAGCTGACGTGCAGCGTATGGAATATTGCTACAGGTACTCACCACAATCAGTGACATCCCTCCAGTTTCCCACTGTGATGCCACTCTGTTGGCACATTAGGGCGTAACCACGAAGAGCCTCACACAGGACTCCTGGAGCCCCACCTGCTTCAGTCAAATCCTCCACACACTCTTCCACCCGCTCCCAAGGGTCCACCCTGCTCTGGCACAAAGAGAACGGCCCACCAGGCGAAGCCATGAGGCCACATGACTGGTTGGAATTGTAAACAGTGGTGTTCTGTCCAATTTGTGGCAGCACCCTATTTTCCGTTTCCACACAGTGCGCCGAGAGGGACCCGTCCCGCCAACTGTCTCCAAAGAGTTGCGAGTTGTTGACCAGAATGCCGTTTGGGGTTTGAAAGTCATCATGCCTGTGGCCGTTGTAGTTGCCACACAGGCCACCGAGGGAGCTGTTGTAGGTGCCTGGTGTGGTGACCCGGACCAAGTGAGGCCAGTCAATTTGGACGGTGACACCAAAGGAGGTGTAGAGGACGATGCTGTTGACACTGCTGTGGAAGACCTGGATGTGGCCGGACTCGGTGCTAAAGGGAACTTGGATCAACTGACCGTTCACCTATGGTGGGATTCAAGGGTATCAATTCAACGGTAGAGCATAGGAAATGTGGGATTTGAGATTTGACAAAAAACTGGTGAGTTAAAGGAATAAGTAATTTGGGTGAACTAATTAAATCTCTCTCCCAGTAAAGTCTTTAAAATATTGTAAAAATTGTATATATTTAAAATATATTAATGAAATCATACAGCCGGGAGACAAAAACAAAATCTGATATATCTGATACATTTGAGCAATGTCTGTGACTCATTTGAGCAATGTCATGACTCATTCCATACACTTTGTGGTTGGCAAGTTATCTGTAGTTACATTGCATTACTGAGGAATGGCACTGACCTGCACTCTGCTCCCACCTCCCATCTCAATGTACACCTGTGTCCCCACCGCCTCAAATTTCAGCAACTGGGTGAAACCCTGCTGGCCTCTGGGTACTTTCTCTGCCGTCACCACAAAGTGAGTGTGGGGGGACCACCCCATGACCCTGGCCAGGATCAGCCCACAAGCCCCGGGGTACTGGAAGGTCACTCCGTCAAAAGTGCGATAGGACCTGGGTCCTTCCACCCAGCAGGTGGCGTAGCTGGTTGGTCTGCAGCCCCTCTCCCCATCCTCCACCCTGCAGGCCTCTAGTTCTCCACACCCATGGGAATAACAGGTCATGGAACCAAGGCTGCAGCTGCAACGCCTGCCGCAGTCCTGGTCCAGTATGACGGTCGCTCCCGAGCTGTAGTAGCGGTTCTCGAACGTGCAGCCACACTGGGCGAGGGGTACGCACTCCCCAGCGCTCAGGACATAACCAAGGTTACAGATACAGCTCTCCTGGGAGGGGAGGGGGCAGCCGTGGGAGGCATTGAGGTTGCTGCAGGTGGCAGGACAGCTTGTGCCCTGGGACTCAAAGTGACTGTTGGCTGGGCAGGAGATTTCTGATGGAATACAATGAAAAGAGAAATGGTGAAAATATATGCTTAATTTTTGTGATGCAATTCGGGGGAACAGAGACCATAGTTACAAGATTGATTGGCACATACAGTACATACCACAGAAGCCTTGCCTCCTCCATAATCCCGGCTGTATGCCATGCTGTTGGCACTGGGTGGCATACACGCTGAGGGACTGGCACAGGATGGGCTGGTACCCTCCCCCCACGCACTGATCATAGACGCAGCTCTCCTCATAGGTCTGGGGGGGCAGCTGGTCGTGGCATGGGGCGAACGGTCCAGACGGGTCCTGGAGGATACCGCAGTGGGCTGTGTTGCCATAGAGGCTCCTCTGGGAGGTAGTGCACAAGGCACAGTCCAACCCAGCACACAGGACCCTCTCACAGGCCGGGTCGTCATCCCCAGGCGCCTGCCAGCTATTGGCAAAGTCAACGTCGGAGGTCAGGATCTGTCCCGTGCGAGAGCGGAAGTCATCCTCGCGGTGGTTGTTGAAGGTTCCGCACAGACCGCAGGTGGCGTTGAAGTAGTTGAAAGGTACGCTGATTCTGACATAGTGGTTGGCGTCATACGTCACCAGCAGGCCAAAATCGGTGCTGACCGCCAGGGAGAAACCAGACTGGTAGACCTGGATGGTGCCATTACGGAGGGAGAACGGGGTGGAGGCAAAGCTTCCGTTGACCTGGATGCGCAGAGTAGAAATCACAACATTGAGGGGTATGAGTGAGAAGGACATAATTAGAACACTACAGTACTGCACTATATATACAAAAGTATTTGGACACCCCTTCAAATTAGTGGATTCGGCTATTTCAGCCATACCTGTTGCTGACAGGTGTATAAAATTGAGCACACAGCCATGCAATCTCCATAGACAAACATTGGCAATAGAATGGCCTTAATGAAGAGCTCAGTGACTTTCAACGTGGAACCGTCATAGGATGCCACCTTTCCAACAAGTCAGTTTGTCAAATTTCTGCCCTGCTAGAGCTGCCCCGGTCAACTGTAAGCACTGTTATTGTGAACGTCTAGGAGCAAAAACGGCTCAGCCGCGAAGTGGAATGCCACAGAAGCTCACAGAACGGGACCACCGAGTGCTGAAGCACGCAGCGTGTAAAAATTGTCTGTCCTCGGTTGTAATACTTACTCCAAACTGCCTCTGGAAGCAATGTCAGCACAATAACTGTTCGTCGGGAGCTTCATGAAATGGGTTTCCATGGCCGAGCAGCCACACACAAGCCTAAGATCACCATGCGCAATGCCAAGCGTTGGCTGGAGTGGTGTAAAGCTTGCTGCCATTGGACTCTGGAGCAGTGGAAGTGATGAATCACGCTTCACCATCTGGCAGTCTGATGGACGAATCTGGGTTTGGCAGATGCCAGGAGAATGCTACCTTCCCGAATGCATAGTTCCAACTGTAAAGTTTGGTAGAGGAGGAATAATGGTCTGGGGCTGTTTTTCATGGTTCGGGCTAGGCCCCTTAGTTCCAGTGAAGATAAATCTTAACACTACAGCATACAATGACATTCTAGACAATTCTGTGTATCCAACTTTGTGGCAACAGTTTGGGGAAGGCCCTTTCCTGTTTCAGCATGACAATGTCCCCATGCACAAAGTGAGGTCCATACAGAAATGGTTTGTTGAGATCAGTGTGGAAGAACTTGACTTGCCTGCACAGAGCCCTTACCTCAACCCTATCAAACACCTTTGGGATGAATTGGAACGCCGACTGTGAGCCAGGCCTATTCGCCCAACATCAGTGCCCGACCTCATTAATGCTCTTATGGCTGAATGGAAGCAAGTCCTTGCAGCAATGTTCCAATATCTAGTCGAAAGCCTTCCCAGAAGAGTGGAGGCTGTTATAGCAGCAAAGGGGGGACCAACTCCATATTAATGCCTATGATTTTGGAATGAGATTATTCAATGAGCAGGTGTCCACATACTTTTGGTCATGTAGCGTATATCATAAAAGTAAAAAATTACTTCCTACAGCATTACAAAGAGACAATTCAGTGAAGTGCAAGTTAACAATTTTGTCAACTATGTGCATTGCAATGTGAAATCAACAGTAATAAACATCAACCATGCCTGAGCGACAAAGAAACTCAGTTACATTGGTACCGGCACTGACCTTTGCTTCAGCTTGGTGACCTTTGAGCAGCTCTATCTCCTCGTCGTAAACAGATACCCTCACCAGACGGGTCCAGGACACCTGGGTGCTACCACGGTTCTCGTTCTTTCCCTCTACACGGTAGTAGGGCAGTCCACGGCCACACTCCTCTGACAGGACATAGGTGCAGGTGCCCTGGAAGTGGAACACGCTTCCGTCAAAGGTGTAGTAGTGGGGGTCGCCGGAAACAGTGCAGGTGCTGCGTTCAATCGTTTTGCAGGAGAACCGGAAGGCGTCGGGTTGACAGATTTGGGAAAAGGAGCAAGGTTGGCTCTGGCACTGAAGGCCTGTACTGGTGCAGGTGCACCTCTGTCTGCAGCTGTTGTCACTCCAGAAGGAGTCATACAACTGGACAGGAGAACCTGAAAGAGAGTAATAGAAAATGTTTAATGCAGCCAATGTAATAGGGTAAGGACAGAAGCCTGGACAAGATGTAACTAATTTAATTTAAACCTAGGCAAAGTCTCTCAGCAACATTATGCGCAACCTTTGAAAATGTCGTCACTTAAAAAAAAATCTTGTTTATTTTGGAAAAGAACAGTAATTCTTAACACAAACCAAAATAATGGGGCTCCTATGTTTTGTATTTATATTGTTGTTCTCACCATTGAAAGTACAGCCTCTTGATCCATGGTCTGTGCGGAAGGCCCAGCGACCTGCAACATTGACGTTGCTGGTGTAGCTGAAAGTTGTAAAATTGCTTTGAAATGATCCAGGGATCGAGAAGTGGTAGGTGGAGTTGATTGTGTCATAGCCAGCCTAGTAAAAAAATAGACACAAATGTATAAAAAAAATGGAATGATGAAAAATCAAATTTACATCACCAGACAATATATTTTTGTTGTTGTTGCAGAAATGCCTTCTTGAACATGTGAACTTTCATGTGTCTTAATTACAAACTTGTATGGGATCAGTAAATATTGAGTTTAGCCAAGGAGAAAGCACTGAGCTATATATGGAGAAAGACATGATCCTTTCTGGCTAGCCGTGATTGGCTGAGACAATGGAGAGGTTGACCATGCTGACGGTTGGCCATGCCAACATGTGAATTCTGGGTGTGAACGATGCTGAATGATCGTAAACAAAGAAGCCCTCTCTAGCACTCATTTTACATTTTAGTCATTTAGCAGACACTCTTATCCAGAGTGACTTACAGTTAGTGAATACATATTTTTTTATACTGGCCCCCCGTGGGAATTGAACCCACAACCCTGGCGTTGCAAACGCCATGCTCTATCAACTGAGCTACATCCCTGCCGGCCATTCCCTCCCCTACCCTGGACGACGCTGGGCCAATTGTGCACCGCCCATGAGCCTCCCGGTCGCGGCCGGCTGCGACAGAGCCTGGATTTGAACCAGGATCTCTAGTGGCACAGTTAGCACTGCGATGCAGTGCCTTAGACCACTGCGCCACTCAGGAGTACAACTCAAAATCTTTCAAGGGTATTTGCTCCTACTTGTCTCCTAAGTGGGATAACACGTTTATCAACTTTTAAAGCAGCATAACTTTCCCATGCTTCCTCCAATCACAGTGAATCAATTACAATTTTGGAGATCTGAATCTGCATTTTTGTACATACGCCCCCTTTGGGATAGACCGTCACAATTATGCATTCATTCTTCTGACCTGAATGCTGCGTTGTGCTGGTGCAATCTGCCCATAGTTCATCAGGACAAAAGAGAATGGGACACCAGCAATCAGAACCACTTGGAAGGTTGTTTCCTTATATTAAGGAAATGAGAGAAAGATTTTAAGACATAGCCTACTGTATAATGTAACAATCTTGCCCACCATAAGACATCCCATGTAATTTCTATTTCATATCATTGCTTCATAGGTGTTGTATCGATTGCCTTTACAATAAGGATTACTTTTGCTAGCAAAAAGTCTTACTGTTCCTGAAACGGGGAAGTAGGCCACCCTATCCCACGTAGCAATGAAGACCAAATTAGCAGAGAAGGCCAGGTTTGGGAAGTACTGATTGATGTCTTGTGTGGCCTGTTGAAGAACACTACCGCTGGTGTACTGCTGGTAAGAGATGTTACCATTCCCTCGGTTGTCCAAATCGGTCCAAAATGGAGCTATGAGATCTATTGTGGAATGTGCAGGAAAACTGTATGGTATGTAGCTGAACCATGCTTGGTTGAATGTCAGGTGTCCGTTGTTGTTAACCTTAAATGAAATTAGTTCATTGAAAAATGGCAAATGGTTACACAATTCTTTTGTTTATTTGTACTGTACAACAGAACAGATTTTGAATTGCTTATAGGAGTAGTTCAGGCTTTCACAACTTGATGTTAGATGGTTCCTCACCCTGAAAGTAGTCTATGGATCAGGAGAAACTGTGTTTTGTATACATTTCCACACTATGAGGTTAGGATAATACTGTGAAATTGTGAAAATTATGATAATGCCCTTTTAGTGTGAGAGCTGTTTGAAAAGACCACTTGAAATTTCACCCTGTTTTGATGGGATGGAGTTTTGGTCTGCCTGGTGACATCACCAGGTGGTCAATTAGTTAATAGACCAATAAGAAAGAGAGTTCAAAACCTCTCTGCCAATAAGAACTAGTTTTCAGTTTTCTGCGCCCCACTCACACCACTCCCAGACAATCCTAGCAAAATTCTTGCTTGAGAACTTGCTCTTTCCTAAAAAGCTTCTTTTTTTTTACAATTTTAATTGAAAACAAGCACAGTAAGGTACTCAATTGTTACCCAGAACAATTTATATTGAGATAAAAACGGCTGCATTGGACTTTTAAAAAGGCCAAATCACCTTTCAGTAACATTAAACCAAATATTAATATTTGAGTTGATTTCAGATTATATAGACTTTGAAAAACTAAAACATGCTCACATGTCCCTATCACCAAATATTGTTAGCTTGTGATGGCTATAGTTAGCTGAAGTTTGTAGCAGCAAAAAATAAATAAAAATAAAAAACCATGGATTACAGTTTCTCCTGGCCCATAGACTACTTTCAGGGTGAGAAACCATCTAATATCAAGTTGTAAAATCTTGAACTACTCCAGGAGGCATCCCAGCATAATTTCTGGGGGCGTGCAACATCTTAACAGCATATTCTGATTGTAAAGTGGTTTACTGGTTGAACAGACATCATAGAACCAGATTACATTCAGGTAAACAATGGCATCTTGATTTTTCACAACCAGTATTCAACCTGACCAGCAAAATAAGTCATAACACATTGCATACAGTTTTGCCTGCTGGGATATTCAAAATACACAACAGGTTTCATGCAACAGAGATAAATAAATATACATTTCTACCCACATATATCTGGTTGTACGTGTTTCCAAAATAGACAAATGGCCGCTGTAGGGGTATAAGAGGGGAACTTCCATCATCTGATCTGGAATTCATGGTGTCTCCAGCCCCAAATGGATAGAGTGGTCCTGAGATGAACAAAATGCCCCTCTATCATAAAAACGTAATTATCCAGCCATATTTGGCCACACTGGCAATTATTTCAGGTGAGTTATTCCATTACCAATCAGTCAATCAGTCATTGCAGATTGCTGATTTCAGGTCAGCAAAGTATAACCTGTCCATCAAAGAGGACCAACAATAAGCCAAGATAACTATACATTTTTTATTAGTATTAACATTTGGTTTCACAAAGCATTCCTAATTGTATTTTGTCTGTTAGGAATCTAAGAAATCTTTGGAGGAATTATTGAAGTGTGATTAAATCACTCAGAAGTATGGTTCTTTCACTTTTTAAATGCATGTGCCAATCAACAGAAATGGCCTCACTGGTTGGCAACAAGCAATGCAGACAATAAAGAGGAAATATTTCAGCCTGATAGCATTATAATTGTAATTCCCTTCTCCCGGCTGCCAATCAGCGTTCTCTGAAGCACCTCTCACTCACATGGCTCTCTCAGATACAGTGCATTCGGAAAGTATTCAGACCCCCTTGACTTTTTCCAAATGTTGTTACGTTACAGCCTTATTCTAAAATGGATTAAATTGTATGTTTTTCTTATCAATCTACACACAATACCCCATGATGACAAAATAAAAACAGGTTTTTAGAAATTTTTGCAAATGTATTCAAAATAAAAACTGAAAAATGACATTTACATAAGTATTCAGACCCTTTACTCAGTACTTTGTTGAAGCACCTTTGGCAGCGATTACAGCCTCAAGTCTTCTTGTGTATGATGCTACATGCTTGGCACACCTGTATTTGGGGAGTTTCTCCCATTGTTCTGTGCAGATCCTTTCAAGCTCTGTCAGGTTGGATGGGGAGCGTCACTGCACAGCTATTTTCAGGTCTCTCCAGAGATATTCGATTAGGTTCAAGTCCCGGCTCTGGCTGGGCCACTCAAGGACATTCAGAGACTTGTCCTGAAGCCACTCCTGCGTTGTCTTGGCTGTGTGCTTAGGGTCGTTGTCCTGTTGGAAGGTGAACTTTCGCCCCAGAGAATCTTGTTTCTCATTGTCTGAGAGTCCTTTAGGTGCCTTTTGGCAAACTCCAAGTGGGCTGTCATGTGCCTTTTACTGAGGAGTGGCTTCCGTCTGGCCACTCTACTATAAAGGCCTGATTGGTGGAGTGCTGCAGAGATGGTTGTCCTTCTGGAAGTTTATCCCATCTCCACAGAGGAACTCTGGAGCTCTGTCAGAGTGACCCCTTCTCTGTCAGAGTGACCATCGGGTTCTTGTTCACCTTCCTAAACAAGGCCCTTCTCCCCCGATTGCTCAGTTTGGCCGGGCGGCCAGCTCTAGGAAGAGTCTTGGTTTTGGTACACTTCCCCAGATCTGTGCCTTGACACAATCCTGTCTCGGAGCTCTACGAACAATTCCTTCGACCTCATGGCTTGGTTTTTGCTCTGACATGCACTGTCAGGTATTATAGTTTTTAAAAAATATATATATACAGTGGGGAGAACAAGTATTTGATACACTGCCGATTTTGCAGGTTTTCCTACTTACAAAGCATGTAGAGGTCTGTAATTTTTATCATAGGTACACATCAACTGGGAGAGACGGAATCTAAAACAAAAATCAAGAAAATCACATTGTATCATTTTTTATTAATTAATTTGCATTTTATTGCATGACATAAGTATTTGATCACCTACCAACCAGTAAGAATTCCGGCTCTCACAGACCTGTTAGTTTTTCTTTAAGAAGCCCTCCTGTTCTCCACTCATTACCTGTATTAACTGCACCTGTTTGAACTCGTTACCTGTATAAAATACACCTGTCCACACACTCAATCAAACAGACTCCAACCTCTCCAACCTTTCCACAATGGCCAAGACCAGAGAGCTGTGTAAGGACATCAGGGATAAAATTGTAGACCTGCACAAGGCTGGGATGATCTACTGGACAATAGGCAAGCAGCTTGGTGAGAAGGCAACAACTGTTGGCGCAATTATTAGAAAATGATGGCATGGCGGTCAATCACCCTCGGTCTGGGGCTCCATGCAAGATCTCACCTCGTGGGGCCTTAATGATCATGAGGAAGGTGAGGGATCAGCCCAGAACTACACGGCAGGACCTGGTCAATGACCTGAAGAGAGCTGGGACCACAGTCTCAAAGAAAACCATTAGTAACACACTACGCCGTCATGGATTAAAATCCTGCAGTGCACGCAAGGTCCCCCTGCTCAAGCCAGCGCATGTCCAGGCCCGTCTGAAGTATGTCAATGACCATCTGGATGATCCAGAGGAGGAATAGGAGAAGGTCATGTGGTCTGATGAGACAAAAATAGAGCTTTTTGGTCTAAACTCCACTCGCCGTGTTTGGAGGAAGAAGAAGGATGAGTACAACCCCAAGAACACCATCCCAACCGTGAAGCATGGAGGTGGAAACATCATTCTTTGTGGATGCTTTTCTGCAATGGGGACAGGACGACTGCACCGTATTGAGGGGAGGATGGATGGGGCCATGTATCGCGAGATCTTTCCAACAACCTCCTTCCCTCAGTAAGAGCATTGAAGATGGGTCGTGGCTGGGTCTTCCAGCATGACAACGACCCGAAACACACAGCCAGGGCAACTAAGGAGTGGCTCCGTAAGAAGCATCTCAAGGTCCTGGAGTGGCCTAGCCAGTCTCCAGACCTGAACCCAATAGAAAATATTTGGAGGGAGCTGAAAGTCCGTATTGCCCAGCGACAGCCCCGAAACCTGAAGGATCTGGAGAAGGTCTGTATGGAGGAGTGGGCCAAAATCCCTGCTGCAGTGTGTGCAAACCTGGTCAAGACCTACAGGAAACGTATGATCTCTGTAATTGCAAACAAAGGTTTCTGTACCAAATATTAAGTTCTGCTTTTCTGATGTATCAAATACTTATGTCATGCAATAAAATGCAAATTAATTACTTAAAAATCATACAATGTGATTTTCTGGATTTTTGTTTTAGATTCCGTCTCTCACAGTTGAAGTGTACCTATGATAAAAATTACAGACCTCTACATGCTTTGTAAGTAGGAAAACCTGCAAAATTGGCAGTGTATCAAATACTTGTTCTCCCCACTGTATACATTTGCAAAAGTTTCATAAAACCTGTTTTTGCTTTGCTTTGTCATTATGGGATATTGTGTGTAGATTGATGAGAATATTTTATTTAATGAATTTTAGTATAAGGCTGTAAGGTAACAAAATGTGGAAAAAGTGAAGTGGTCTGAATACTTGAGAATGACACAAATATTAATTTTCACAAAGTCTGCTGCCTCAGTTTTTATGATGGCAATTTGCAAATACTCCAGAATGTTATGAATAGTGATCAGATGAATTGCAATTAATTGCAAAGTGATAACTAAGTGGCTCAGGGAACAAAACATCGAAATTTTGGGTCCATGGCCAGGAAACTCCCCAGACCTTAATCCCATCTAGAACTTGTGGTCAACCCTCAAGAGGCGGGTGGACAAACAAAAACCCACAAATTCTGACAAACTCCAAGCATTGATTATGCAAGAATGGGCTGCCATCAGTCAGGATGTGGCCCAGAAGTTAATTGACAGCATGCCAGGGCGGATTGCAGAGGTCTTGAAAAAGAAGGGTCAACACTGCAAATATTGACTCTTTGCATAAACTTTATGTAATTGTCAATAAAAGCCTTTGACACTTATGGAATGCTTGTAATTATACTTCAGTATACCATAGTAACATCTGACAAAAATATCTAAAAACACTGAAGCAGCAAACTTTGTGAAGACCAATACTTGTGTCATACTCAAAACTTTGGACCACGACTGTACTGTCCTGCAAATTACCTAAAGGCCCACATATTTCCAGGAAGTCATGCCTTCTTGGCAGTCTTCCAGCTATGTTTCCTGGCAAGATTAGGAATGTGTCACAACAAGTGGTGTGTTACGCGAAGTGATGCTTGTTCTTTTGACAGGTTATTTCTAATTGTTGAGATTAAAATCTTTGACAAGAGCAAGTTGGCCAAATGGGTTGGGCAAGTAAACAAAAGCATTGCAGTTCCTTGTCAGGGGACATGTAATACCATTTAATGAACAACTGCTATTTACATTTAAATTTTTAGTCATTTAGCAGACGCTCTTATCCAGAGCGACTTACAGTTAGTGAGTGCATACATTATTATTTTTCATACTGGCCCCCCGTGGGAATTGAACCCACAACCCTGCCGTTGCAAACGCCATGCTCTACCAATTGAGCTACATCCCTGCCGGCCATTCCCTCCCCTACCCTGGACGACGCTGGGCCAATTGTGCGCCGCCCCATGGGTCTCCCGTTCGCGGCCGGCTACGACAGAGCCTGGATTCGAACCAGGATCTCTAGTGGCACAGCTAGCACTGCGATGCAGTGCCTTAGACCACTGCGCCACTCGGGAGTAGCGCAGTGCTATAACATATTAGTTGAGGGATGGGGCTGGAGAAATGTGTCACACCCTGATCGGTTTCACCTGTCTTTGTGCTTATCTCCACCCCCCTCCAGGTGTTGCCCATCTTCCCCATTATCCCCTGTGCATTTATACCTGTGTTCTCTGTTTGTCTATTGACAGTTCGTCTTGTCTTGTCAGGTCTTACCAGCGTGCTTTCCAGTCTTCCTGTTTTCTCAAGTTTTCCTAGTTTTCCTAGTTTCCCCGGTTCTGACCAATCTGCCTGCCCTGACTCCGAACCTGCCTGCCGTTCTGTACTTGCCTGCGCTGACCCCGAGCCTGCCTGCAGATCTGTACCTTACTGACTCTGCCCTGAGTTCTGATAAAATGTAACCATGCTCAAAATAATAGACCGAGCTATGGATGCAAGGACTGACCATCCATGAGATCAAAAGTATAATTTTAACTATGCTTTGAGGCTATATATTTATTTTTACAATTATATTGTTTACAAACAATGGAGTAAAACAAGCTTATATGTTGGGTTCTGGTGGGGTAAGACAGTTGAACTAAGCTCATGAGGTATTTAAAAGTTACTGTATATTCTTTAAGAATCAATGGGTATATATTATTATTTTAAAAGTAAAAAAAATTGATCTACCAATCACAGATTTCCCTTTTAATATACATTGGTAAATAGTGATAAGTAATTGTGTAAAATATTTGTATCTATGATAATTACTACACAAATATGAGTTTCTTGACAAAGTGGAAACAAATCCTGACGTAGCTATTCTCAGTGTAATGTAAGGCATGCCAGTAACCGGAGGGTCGCCTGTTCAAATCCAAGCGCAGACTTGGGAGAATCAAGTAGAGAGTGGGCTGGCAACTAAAGGGCAAGGCTCTAAACTGCTCCAGGGGCACTACACTGCGGCTGACCCTGTCATCCAACTCAGGGCCGTGCAACAACCTTTATGGGGGGCAAGTGCTCAAACAACAAAAAGGGTACCCCCAAAAAAGAAAATCCAGCAACCTCGGTCACAGACTCGTTAAGCAATTATTACAAAAACAGAAGAAAGCAGCACAATCTTATGAGTAAAGTATTTAGCAAAACTATTTTGCTATATATCATATATCATGTCACTACTCTGGTTTCCAGATCATACGGCCTACTTGTGCCTGCAGAATGCTCGTTGCCAGCCAGGTAGCTCTGTTCTTCCTCACAAATATCATAATAAAATCCCATAATATTGAAGGCAGTGCGTTGTTTCAGCTGCTTATCTTTAGACATACAGCCAGTAGCCACCCAAACTAGGCCTATCTGAAATATGAAAATGATCCATGAAATCGGCAGGTAGCCAGCCTATTGTTCTTGAAGATGAGTCGGTAGTAGATAGGCTAAACTGTATTTTATATGGATGATAAACATAAGCCTACTCTGTTTTTGAACTGGAGGAAATGAAACAAGTTCTTTCAATAAATGTAGGTCATTCTATCTGAGGATTTTAGAACTCCTGCACTGTCTCGTCACATGGATTTGGTCTTATTGCTGTAGCAGCCCAGTAACCACGACAAGGAAACCGACAGTCGCAGCAACGGTCAACAGTCATTCCACCGGAGTATAAACTAAATATAGTTTTGACCAGCGACACTTGTCACATTGAAAGGTGCTTTACCCCAATGATCTACATACCAAGTATAAACTGGCCTTTTACTCTATCACATGCATTGTCTGCACCTTGTCATAATGGATTTTGTCAAATAAAAATAATCATGATAATGACGAAGTGTGCAGAGACAGCATTCTGCACATTCAACCTTCTCTTACTGAAGCACATTTTGACTCAATCTTTATTATTTTCTTACCTTGACAGGAGTTATGTGACCAAAAAAGGATTAAAACAGTTATGTTCCAAAACCTTTAATTCAAAGTCAAACACAGATTTTCTTGAGTGATATTGTTGCAATATAAGTCTAATGGAAGTGTGTGAGCTATTGACTATTCATACATGAAGTAAACTATGACATTGTAGGCATAGATTACTTCACAGGGCATTCTATAGAGCTTGTATAAAAAATCTAACACAGTCGCATAACTCCACTCAAGGTAAGAAAACAATTACGATTGGATCATCATTTTGAGAAAGTATCCCTTTAAGGAAATTGTTTGTTTTGCTAAGTGGGTTGAAATCAGTTATTAGACATGGTAAACTCACCAGAAACAGCATTGGTCACCCTACCTGTTGAGATACGAAAGATAAAATGTTTACACAAGGGAAATTAATATGGAAAAATATGTTGGGTTTATAGCCTTAAAGACTAAATATAAGTGGGGACAAAGGAAAGAATATATTTAATATGTGCAATTCAATACAAGTTTTTCTCATCAGCTTCATACTGAGAAGAGACAATACTTACTCATCATCAACAAAAGCAGGACAAAAAGCATGGTTTGATTCCCCATTGTCACTAGCTCCTTGGGCAAGAGAATTCAAATCTATGAGAAAATATAATAATCATCATTACCATAATCGTCAGAAACCATTAATATTATTATCCCATCCTTAAAGTTGATTTCATGCACATTCTACATTTTGTATTGAGGAGCTCACCTGTTTCTGTGCATTCACCCTCTCATGTATGTGGTACAGTTGGACACTAGGCTTACATACTGTTCATTTCTGTGGTGGAATGCAACTTGATCGAAAGCTCTACAAACCGGTTGTCTCATCATTTACAATAATTCACTGAGGATTCCTGTCAAACATTTGCGTGACACAGGCAAAAACTAATTTCTTCCTCATATATGTCTTGTATGAGAACAAAGGCTTTCTTGCAAGATTTCTTTTTGGCAGACTAAAGCCTAGCCTTGGTTTCTCAAATGACTGCCTCGCCTGGTTCACCAACTACTTCTCAGATAGAGTTCAATGTGTCAAATCGGAGGGCCTGTTGTTTGGACCTATGGCAGTCTCTATGGGGGTGCCACAGGGTTAAATTCTTGGGCCGACTCTTTTCTCCGTGTATATCAATGATGTCGCTCTTGCTCAGATCCACCTCTACGCAGACGACAACATTTTGTATACATCTGGCCCTTCATTGGACACTGTGTTAACAAACCTCCAAACGAGCTTCAATGCCAAACAACACTCATTCAGTAGCCTCCAACTGCTCTTAAACACTAGTAAAACTAAATGCATGCTCTTCAACCGAACGCTGCTTGCACCCGCCCACCCGACTAGAATCACTACTCTCGACGGGTCTGACCTAGAGTATGTGGACAACTACAAATACCTAGGTGTCTGGTTAGACTGTAAACTCTCCTTCCAGACTCACATTAATAATCTCCAATACAAAGTTAAATCTAGAATCGGTTTCCTATTTCGCAACAAAGCCTCCTTCACTCATGCTGCCAAACATGCCCTCGTAAAACTGACTATCCTACCGATCCTTGACTTCGGCGATGTCATTTACAAAATAGCCTCCAACACTCTACTCAGCAAATTGGATGTAGTCCATAACAGTGCCATACAATATGCGCTCCAGCAGGTATATCTCACTGGTCATCCCCAAAGCCAACACCTCCTTTGGCCGCCATTACTTCCAGTTCTCTGCTGCCAATGACTGGAACAAATTGCAAAAATCTCTGAAGCTGGAGACACTTATCTCCCTCGATAACTTTATGCATCAGTTGTCAGAGCACCTTACCGATCACTGCACCTGTACACAGCCTGTCACGCCCTGTCTCTGGGGACTCTTTAAGGTTGAGCCAGGGTGCTAGTTTCTATGTTTAGTTTTCTAGGTTTCTGTTCTAGATCATTGTATTTCTATGTTGGCCAGGGTGGTTCCCAATCAGAGGCAGCTGATTCTCGTTGTCTCTGATTGGGAACCATACTTAGGCAGCCTGTTGGCACTTTTGTATTGTGGGATCTTGTTCCGTGTATGGTTTGTGTCTGTTACCTAGGACTTCACGTATCGTTTTGTTGTTTTGTTTCATGTGGTGAATCAAATAAAAGTATGTTCACTCATCACGCTGCGCCTTGGTCCACTCATTATGACGATCGTGACAGAAGATCCCACCTCGACTGGATCATGCAGCGTGACGAGGAGAGAGGATGGACTTGGGAGGAGATGAGTGCGAGTCTGGCAAGAGGGATGGAGGCCTTGAGCACGGGGGAGAGACAAGCCCAAGAAATTTTTAGGGGGGGGGCTCACACCGTGGACGGCGAGGCAGCGGGAGGCCACGATAGAGCGGTTCGGCAGGTTTGCAGAGGAGGCCGCCAGGTTACGGGGCCACTGGCCACGAGGGAGAAGGAGAGTGTAGAGGCACGGCGAGAGGTACTGGGGTGTGTTACCAGTCCGGTCCGGCCCGTTCCTGATCCCCGCACAAGGCCAGTGGTGTGTGTTCCCAGTACGGTCCGGCCTGTTCCTGTCCCTCGCACCAAGCCTGTGGTGCGCGTCGCCAGCCCAGTCCGGCCTGTTCCTGCTCCCCGCACCAAGCCTGTGGTGCGCGTCGCCAGCCCGGTCCGGCCTGTTCCTGCTCCCCGCACCAAGCCAGTGGTGCGCGTCGTCAGCCCAGTCCGGCCCGTTCCTGCTCCCCGCACCAAGCCAGTGATGCGTGTCGTCAGCCCGGTCCGGCCCGTTCCTGCTCCACGCACCAAGCCAGTGGTGCGCGTCGTCAGCCCGGTCCGGCCCGTTCCCGCTCCCCGCCAGTGGTGCGCGTCGTCAGTCCGGCACGGTCCGTGCCTGTTCCACCTGTGCCTGGTCCGGCACCGGTCAGCTGCTCCACGCCGGAGCCAGAGCAATCCGCTCCACCGGTGTTCAGTCCAGCTCCGGCCAGCAGGGCCAGACCACGAGGGCGAGAGAGAGAGTGGTGGTCACGCCCGGAGCCGGATCCGCCTCCGAGGCGGAATGCCCACCCGGCCCCTCCCCTGTTGGGTTTAGTTGGCGCGGTCGCAGTCCGCGCCTTTGGGGGGGGGGGGTACTGTCACGCCCTGTCTCTGGGGACTCTTTAAGGTTGAGCCAGGGTGCTAGTTTCTATGTTTAGTTTTCTAGGTTTCTGTTCTAGATCGTTGTATTTCTATGTTGGCCAGGGTGGTTCCCAATCAGAGGCAGCTGATTCTCGTTGTCTCTGATTGGGAACCATACTTAGGCAGCCTGTTGGCACCTTTGTATTGTGGGATCTTGTTCCGTGTATGGTTTGTGTCTGTTACCTAGGACTTCTGGTGAATCAAATAAAAGTATGTTCACTCATCACGCTGCGCCTTGGTCCACTGTGTTCGACGATCGTGACACAGCCCCTCTGAAATTAGCCCGCCCAACTACCTCATCCCTATATTGTTATTTATTTTGCTCATTTGTACCCCAGTATCTCTATTTGCACATCATCTCTTGCACATCTATCATTCCAGTGTTAATACTAATTGTAATTATTTTGCACTATAGCCTATTTATTGCCTTACCTCCATAACTTGCTAAATTTGCACACACTGTATATATATTTTCTGTTGTATTTTTGACTTTATGTTTTGTTTTACCCCATATGTAACTCTGTGTTGTTGTTTTTATCGCACTGCTTTGCTTTATCTTGGCCAGGTCGCAGTTGTAAATGAGAACTTGTTCTCAACTGGCTTACCATTTTATTTTATAAAATAAAATAAATAAATAAAAAGAACAATTCTATGGGGTTAGATTTGTTTCTTTATTCTGTAAGTGTGTCTATTCAACATAACTCACAAAGACAACTATGATCTGTGAATATATTAAATATTTCACAAAGTAAACCATAATCCGTGAATACAGTATGTAAAAATAAATCACAAATAAATCCATGATCTGTAAATATATACAACATAGCTCACAAATAAAACTAGAATTAAAACAAATGTCGAACGATTTGTGAGGAAATGTTCATAAATCCCTAACATTTACAACTGTGGAATGTGCATTTGCGCATTCAAAAAGTGCTTTTGGCTCTGTATTCTGTGCTTACAGAATTTTCAGACACATTTTCCACCTGACATTTTTCGATCCACATGACGGTAATCCAACTGGCATAGGCTAATAATAACTAGTTTGTTTATTAGGCTAACTTGCCACTTTGAGAACATTTTCACTACTCTCTCCCTCCATCTTATTGAAGTGACCCATGAAAATCCTTTGTTGTCCAAGCAGGTAGCATGTACAATATCCCAGTGTTCATCTGGCTCAACCAGACCCACCCCCAGGGCCGGCCGTGGTGCAACATCTGTTTCTCTGTCTCCTTGGTGAACAACCCCATGTACCCATATGTGGAGGCCAGTAGGCAGGGGCTCCTCGACTGCCTCACCAACTGGAAGAGCGTAAGTCGACGACAATGCTACAACGTAATTTTGTTTTGTTATTTGTTTTGATAGTTCTTGGTGAATGTTTTGTTGATGTATTTTCTATTATTAGAAGAGAAAAGTCATAGTAGTGATTAGAAAATAGAGAGTGTGTGTGTGTGTGTGTGTGTGTGTGTGTGTGTGTGTGTGTGTGTGTGTGTGGACGTCTTTAACAAGAATAGTAAGCAAACACAAATTTGACCAACTGGGGACATTTTGTTGGTCCCCGCAAGGTCAAATGCTATTTCTAGGGGGTTTAGGGTTAAGGTTAGAATTAGAGTTAGGGTTAGAATTAGGTTTAGGGTTAGAGTTAGAAGCTAGGGTTAGTTTTAGTGCTAAGGTTAGAATTAGGGTTAGGGTTAGGGTTAAGGTTAGGTTTTTGGGTTAAGTTTAGGGTCAAGGTTAGGGTTAGGGTAAGAGTATGGGTTAGGGTTAGGTTTAGGGTTAGGGGTTAGGGAAAATAGGATTTGAATGGGACTGAATTGTGTGTCCCCACAAGTTTAGCTGTACAAGACTGTGTGTGTGTGTGTGTGTCGCTCCCAAGTGTGTACTTTGTGTGTGAGCATGCATGGTTTGAAGTGGCATTGAAGAGGGATAGTACTGTAACATCATCATGATCAATCTACTTTCCAACCTCGTCACAGAAATTAGGTCTGCATTTCAAAAGGAAATGGCCCTCTTTGCCATGTATCCAATCAGAGCTCAGACACTACCTACTACAGCACATGCAGAGTCTTCGGACCCTGGCAGGTAAATTGAGAAGGGTGCTCATTCCTTGTTATAATAGACATATACAGTGGGGGGAAAAAGTATTTAGTCAGCCACCAATTGTGCAAGTTCTCCCACTTAAAAAGATGAGAGAGGCCTGTAATTTTCATCATAGGTACACGTCAACTATGACAGACAAATTGAGGGAAGAAAATCAAGAAAATCACATTGTAGGATTTTTAATGAATTTATTTGCAAATTACGGTGGAAAATAAGTATTTGGTCACCTACAAATAAGCAAGATTTCTGACTCTCACAGACCTGTAACTTCTTCTTTAAGAGGCTCCTCTGTCCTCCACTAGTTAACTGTATTAATGGCACCTGTTTGAACTTGTTATCAGTATAAAAGACACCTGTCCACAACCTCAAACAGTCACACTCCAAACTCCACTATGGCCAAGACCAAAGAGCTGTCAAAGGACACCAGAAACAAAATTGTAGACCTGCACCAGGCTGGGAAGACTGAATCTGCAATAGGTAAGCAGCTTGGTTTGAAGAAA